GCCTCTTCCCCCCCGCCCCCCCCCCCCGCCACAATGGCTCCCTGGGAAGACATGCAGCCAGCAGAGGGCGACACCGCTGGCCGAGTCCGCTTCTTGCCCGTGCTCACTCCTCGCCCCGGCCCCGCCCCTCGCCTGCTCACCTGCCTCTGACACCCCTCCACGATGATGAGCTTCTGCTGAGGAGACGTCCGCGCGAACACGATCTCTGTGTGGTTCTTGAGGATCTCATCGAGCTGCTCCGAGTTCATGTCCTTCAGGTCGGAGCCGTGCACCACGCAGGCCTTGGCTTCTCTGCGGTGTGGGCAGCCGTGGCTGAGTCTCTGTGCCCGCACCAGCAGGAGGTCTCGCCTCCCCACCTCTGGGCCCTTGGTCTCCCCGCTGCCTGGCTTTCCCTTACTTCAGCTTTCCTCTCCCTTGATGCTCAGCTCTTCCCCAGCATGCCTTCGTGGTTGTGAGGACAGTCGGCTGAGGCAGTGCTCTCGCCAGTTCCTGTCTGCACACCCCACCCCTACAGCAAGCCCACAGTGCAGATGGCAGCATAATTTTGTAGTTGAGAAACGGAGGCTCACGGAGGTCAAGTGAACACCCGAGGTTGCACGGCCAGTCAGTGGCACAGCCGGGCTACAAACTCAGGACTGAGGGGCAGTCACAGAAGTGCCAGAGGTGAGGTCTGTAAAGGGCCCAGGGATGCGCTCAGAAATCCCCAGGGGTTAGGTGAGGGTGTGTTGTTCGGGGGCAGGGCCTCCTGCCAAGGCCTCACCTGGGGTTGACTTGGCTCACGGGAATGTTGAGCCGGGCTGCAATGTCCTCCACTGTCTCGTTGCCCTCTGAGATGATGCCCACACCTTTGGCAATGGCCTTGGCTGTGATAGGGTGGTCTCCAGTCACCATGATCACCTAGCAGAAGGAGGAGAGAGAAAAGGAAAGGAGTATTGAGGGAGTTTCTCTTTCCTGTTCCTTTCCCAAAGTCAGGAAAAACTAGGCCACTAGATGCCCAGGGCTGGTAATTCCAGGCAAAATAATGGAATTGTATGTGCATGTGTGAGTGGGCAGGACGGTGACAAATTGTGTTGAATGTGCGCTGAAAAGGAGAGCATCCAGGACAGAATCGCGGTTAATGAGAGTCCCTTGGAAAAGAAGCCTGGATTACCTTGTGGTAGGGGAGCCTTTTAGAACAAAGGAAGATAATGGGGTATACTTGGAATTGAAATACGCTCGTGCAACCTGTAGTGACCTTGCAGCCCCGTCTCCATAGCAACTTCGCGACTCTAACTTTATGAACGCCTGAGTATCTAACAGCCCAGTAGCCCCAGTGCATACCTGCATGACTCTGATGCAACCTTATGTAGGTTACGTCATATGAGTTACACAATCAAAAGTGTGTAAAAGTGTATATAACCACATAAGGGGGACAAAGAGACTAAAGTGAATAAAGAAAGGGCCCCTAGAAATTTGGGGCTCAGCTTTTGGATGTGAATCCACTGAGCCAGTGCTGGTACAAAATAAATCATTATTTTCCTGCAAAAGCCTGTGTCCTGTCTCTCTCTCGCTGAAAATCTCCCAACAACCTAGGACTATTTAGGAGATGTTTTTTAAGAGTTTGGATTGGGAGTCAAGGCAATCAGAGCTGGAAGGAAATTGGATTAGTTCCTTCATTTTATAGATGAGGAAAGCAAGACATGGAGAGGGTTTATGATTCAGTCTGGGTCACAAGGACCCAGCACTGGGACGCCATCTTGGTGTGCTATGATCCCTGCAGCGGTCTAACTGCTCAGAGGAGGGATGAGACCGAGGTAGGCCCAGCCTCCACCACCTTACTCGTCTGCCTCTGATGCCCCTGACTTACCCACCGTGACGTTCCTTATGGTGGTTGCTGAATGGGTGGATTTGGGAGGAGCAGGGGAGCAGGACCCTGATAGGCTAGTTAAGAGTTAAGAAGCTCTTATAGGCGTAAGATGGTCACAGCTGGGTTACGAGAGCATCCTCATGCTGGGTTTGTGGGCTAATCCCATGAATATTGGGAGAAAGCCTGGTAAGTTCCCACTGCCTTCCCTTAAACCCCTACGCCACTGAAATGCCCCCACAGGCTGCACGGATCGCTCAAGTGAAAAACAACAGCATCTTTATAGTCCTCATCTACTAGACTCCTCTGAACCTTCAGCACTGTTGAGCACCCCTCCATGGAACCCTGTCTCCCTTGGTTTCCAGAGACTCCTCGATTCCTGAGTCCCTTTCACCCCTCTGCATGCTCCTTCCCCCAGGCTAGGAGAATGGAAGAAGCATTGGCTTGGGGGCTGGACGGGGCCTGAGTCTAAACATCGGCGGGCTCCAGCTCTAGAACCTTAGGCAGGTCAGTTCCCTGAGTCTCAGCACAGTGGAGAAAGATGACTCCTACCTGTCTACTGGTTCTCATGAAGATTAAGTGGCATCAGGTGGATGCCCAGTGTTAGTTGTGTCCTACCCTGTCCCTTCCTCTCAGAGTTATCTTCCTCCACTGGCCTCCAAATACTATGTGGCCCAGGGCTTCATTCAGCTCCCCTTTCTTGATCCTTAATTTCTTCCTGGGCAATTCGCAGCCGTCAAAAGGTTCATGGAACAGCATATTATGGAAAAACTATGCATGGGTTTCAATGTTTTTTTGGACCAAATTAAAGTCATACTTTAATTCCATTTTACCATGAACTTTTTGAAGTCCTCTCATAAAATAGAAAATACTAGGAAGCCTTTAATTTGCACCCATGTGTTAATGCAATTCAAATCTCCAGTCTTGACTGTCTTTCTTGAGCTCTAAACCCTAACCCAGCCTTCCCCAGGACATCTCTCCCTGGGCATCTTAAATGGACTGCACACCTAAGGTCAACACTGAGCTCAAAACTCCACTCTCACCTCTTCTGCCAAGCCTGCTCTTCTACCCCCGACCTTAGATAGTAATCTCTTTATGTTTTCTGTCCCTTTCTCTCCTACACTTTCTCACCCCTGCCCCCAGTATCCAGTTTGGTCACCAAACTCTTCAAACATGTCTCAAGTGCAATTATTCCTCTCAACTCCCTTTGTTACCAGTAAGGCAAGCCATCATCCCTCAACTGAACTATTGCAATGGCCTCTTTTTAAAATTTCTCATTTAAAATTCATTGATTTCTTCCATGAGTAAGAGAGAGAGAAAGCTCCCCCAACAGGGTCCTGATGCCGTGATCCACCCCACCTTTAGTCAGCTCTGGATCAAGGGCAAGTGAGCACTTGGTGTGCTCAGGGAGGTCTCCAGACGTAAATCAGGAGCCTTCCCTTGTGGTATCGCCCCACAGAGCATCATGTTTTACTGCCGTGCCACAGTCTGGTCCCTGTAAGAGCCCTTTAACTTGTCTCCCTGACTTCAGTTCCTCCCAATCAAGTCCCTCCTCCATCCAAGCAGTCTTCTGAAAGCTAGGTCTACCCCATGACACCTGTGGCTCTCTGTGACTCACAAGAGAAATCTGGCATTTAAGTAAAGTCCTTCCAACTGGCTCTGAGCTGACATTCCTTCCACTCAATTCTCAAGGCTTCCTGCCCCCCAGCAACACACACACATGTCCCCGCACAGTCTAGCTACCACAGGGTACGCACTGTCCCTGGTCTTGGCACACCTCCCTCTCCCTCAGTGCCTTGAAGGATATGCCTCAACCTTCCAGGCCTAGACCAGGTATCGTCCCTGGGTCAGACATTGTCCAAATCTCACAGGCAGACTTAACTGTTCCTTGCTCTGGCCTCCCATGTGGGTGCTTGCTTGAGCCTCTGCGGTAGTTCTGATCACAGAGAGGCAACTGACCAAGCAAGCAGAGCCCAGACTTTCCAGAAAACCAGACCACGCTCACATTCCCAATCCACCTCCCACTAGCAGATTTATTTTGGGAAAGCTACTTACCCACTCTGAGTTCCAGTCTGTTTTATTTGCAATCGGGAATAATAGTGTCTGCCTTAGAGACAGAGTGGTTATGGGGCTCAGAAATCACATATCTGAATAGCACCAAGTCCTCTTGTGTGATGGTAAAGAAATAGCAGCCTTGGGGCCAGCAGGTAGCAATGAGGTTAAGGCGGCTGAATCCCACATGCCCAACAGCATGGTTCAAGTCTCAGACCTGGTAGCTTGAAAAACATGTCAGGCACTTGTGCATGCATGCTCAAAATCCTGAGAAGAGAATGGAGGAGAAGGGATTGCTGCATGGCCATCCTTTCGGGGAAGCGATTTCTCACTCTCCCTCTCTCTTTATCTCTCTCTGTTTCTCTCCTGAGAGTACATGCAGCCTACAGCAAACTAAAAAGAAAAAGGAAAAGGAAAAGAAATAGCAACCCTGGTTCAAATCGCAGCTCTACAATTTACTAGCTGTGTGGCCTGGGGCATGTGCCTCAGTTTCCCTCTATGTAAAAAGAGGAAATCCTAGTGCTTCCTCATAAGATGGCGGTGAGGGTTAACTGAGACCATTCAGGGTTGATGCATAGAATTGGGCCTGACCATATAAAGCTCAAAAAGGAAAACCAAAGAAACAAGAAAACCTTTTTCTTATTAGAGTATCTGTCCCCTAGTAGGTGCTCCATGACCCTAATGGTCATGGCTGTTCTGTGATCAATTGTACCGGCCCCTGTTTCCTCTGGGAGATCAGGGAATGTGGAGGCCAGGTCCTGTGTCTTACTCATTTGGTATCCCCAGTGCCTGGTGCCATGCCTGGTCCTCAGTGGGCAGGTTGGTTTGTACTGATTTGGTCATAGTCAAGATGTTGGAAAAAAAGAAGAGCCAGTGAGGGCACCAGAATGGGTGACCAGTGTCTTGGAAACAGGAGAGCAAGCTTCAAGGCTGAGGGACTTTTTGTTTGTCAACTCCAGCACCTTGCACAGAGGCTGACACACAGCTGGTGTAAACACCACGGTGTTTGTTGAATGGAGAATGAACACAGCATCGAGGAAGGGGAGGTCGATAAGTAATTGCAGAGGAAAGAGAGAACTGGGAGAGGCAGTCTATGAGGGTATGCGGTGAGGAGTGGGAGCAGACATGAGCCTGCAGATCCCATCCCAAATGGTTAGAGAACGGGCAGTCCCTGGGAAGGGCAGCACAACTGGGTTTCCAAGACAGGGGAGTCAGACACGCTTGATGTCAGGATGCAGGTGCGCACATGCAGATGGGACAACGGCTGCACCAGGGAAGGAGGGGACCAGCCTGGAGTCTGGCCACTCTGAGCTAAAGGGAGCCACAGTAGGGGCCAACCCTTCCTTGCAGATGGAAGCTTCTCCTCTGAGTCAATGGGAGGGTGCCCCCTAGTGGCAAGGGCATCCTCTGGGCAGCAGCCACTGCAGCCCCTTGAGCTCCACAGGAGAGAGTGAGGGTGGAGGGGACAGGAGAAGGCAGTACCTTGATGCCTGCACTCCGGCACTTGCCCACGGCGTCAGGCACAGCAGCCCGGGGAGGGTCGATCATGGACATGAGCCCCACGAAACAGAGCTTCTCTGTGGGAAAGTTCAGCTCATCTGTGTCAAATTTGAAGCCTCGGGGAAACTTCCCAGAAGGAAGGTTCAGTTGACAGAACCCTGAAGGAGGACAGAAAAGAGCAGTGAGAGCAGCATCCTGAACACCCCAGGCCCCCTCCCCTCAGGGATGCCATCCGGGCTCGGGCTCGGCAGTCCCTTTCTCAGCCCCGCTCCCCGTTTCCGGCCCCTCACCCAGCACTCGCTCCCCCAGTCCTCCCAGCTCCATGTAGGCGTTCTGAAAGGCGTCTTGCATATCCTTGTCGAGAGGGATCTCCTTGCCCTGCACCAGGATAGTGGAGCACCGGTCCAGGATGCGCTCTGGAGCCCCCTTCATCACCAGCACATGGCTCTGGGGGCTGTCCTCACGCTCGTGGATGGAGAGCTGGGGAGAGGATAGGCAGTGATGAGGGCCATACTTGGCAGCTCCAGAGCCCAGCACAGAGCCTGGGACAGAGCGGCAGCTGGGAAGGAAAACTGCCTTAATGAAATAACCCTGCTTCCGCAAAGTTCATACACATGGGGACTCCCCCTGCAAAGAAGAGTGTTTGGACCTCATAACCTCGCCTTTTGTAACCTGGCAGTCACCTCCATAGGACAGCTACTCAACCAGTATAATTTTTTTTAGCTTGATTTGTTTATTTTCCTTTCTTAATTTCTTTTTTTGGGGTGGTGGTGTGTATGTGTCAGGGGGGATTTGCCATAGGGCATGTGTGCCCACCAGGAGAGACAGAGAGAGAGACAGTGAGAAGGAAAGGGAGAAATCATCCCCTGGAGGAATGGCCACACTGCAATCCCTTCTCCTCCATTCTTCTGAGTCCTGTGGCATGCATGCACACGTGCCTGGCGTGATTTTCAAGCTGCCAGGTCTTGGACTGCAGTCAGCCACGTGGGAGTTCAGCACTTGACCACTGCAGCACCTGCTGGCCCTAATCACTTATTTTATCATTGCTGGAGGGTATGCACACCCACCAGAGACACAGAGGGAGAGGAGAAAGCAGGCCCTACAGGGGCACGGCATGGTCATACTGCAATCTCTTCTCCATTTCTCTACCCTGTTGGGATTTGGGGTGTGCATGCACATGTGCCCATCATGTTTTCCAAGCCTCCGGAGCCAGGATCCAAACTGTAGTTGGCCATATGGGGTCTGGCTCCCTTAAAACAGGCTACTGGATGGCCCTGGTGTTATTTTTTAAAAGATGGTTTTGCCATGTTGTGATCCTCCTGCCTCAGCCTCCCAGCTGGGACCATGGGCCATGCTGCCATGTCTGGCTCTGTAAGACAAGGTCTCGCTGTGTTGCCCAGGTCAGCCTCGGGCTTACAGTCCTCCTGCCTCAGGAATCGCAGCTGAGTCTCCCACGTGGTTCTGGCCTATAGAGCACTGCGTCTCAGCAGCACACGCCACTGAAGCTGGGTCGACAGCTTTTTTTTTTTTTTTTTTTTTTATGTTTTTGCTATATTGCACTCACTGGAGAGAGACAGAGAGGGGTCAGGAACCAGCAGTTAGCGTAATGGCTATGTCGCTGGACTCCCATGTAGTCGACCACGGTTCGAGTCCTGGACCCGGTGGCTTAAATCTCACGCTGGGCATGTGTGCATGCGTGCCCAGGATCCTGAGAGGAGAATGGAGGAGAAGGGATTGTGGCGTGACCATCCCCCCTGGGGGGTGATTTCTTGCTTTCTGTCTCTATGTCTCTCTCTGTCTGTCTGGCGAGCACACGCGCCCTATAGCGAAAAACCTCTCAAAAAAAAATTTAGAGAGACAGAGAGGGGGAGCGTGAGAAATCACCCCCCGATGGGAATAGCCTCTTGGGATTTTGGGCCCACATACACATGTGCCCCACGTGATTTTCAAGCCACCAGGTCTGGGACTTGAACTACAGTCAGACATATGGGAGTTCAGTGCCTTAACCACCATGTCACCTGCAGGAGGCAGCATTCTTGGCATTGAACAGGGGCCTGCAGGCTGAGGAATACCGTGAGAGGTACAGAGGATGGGTTGATTGGATGGCATTGAAAAGTTGGGCA